ATATATATATATATATATATATATTTGCTTTGTAGATTTCACGGTACAGATGCAGTTTGTTCCTCGGTGTTTCCGTTATATTCGATCGATCATTCATCTTCAGCTGGTGCTCGGCCCTCTTGTTCACTGGAACAAGCTCATTCAGGAGCGAAAGCACGCCTGAAGATACGGTGACTCGTCGAAATCGCTAGACACCCAATACCGGAGCCCGAGGACACAAAACAATTTTTATATATATAAATATATATATATCTCTCCCCCAACAATCAGGGGTTTTTTATTTAAAATCAGGGCTGTTTTTTTATTTAAATCGGATTTTTAAAATAAATGCTTTTTGGAGGAAAAACATCTTTCTAAAAATAGTTTTCTATTTAAGTTACATTATAGTCCAAAGGCTATTTATCAGGAAATAAGGATTTGTTTTAAGTTTTTCATGTGTGCTAAAATTCAGTCTAAGTTTTTTATTAAAAAAAGTTTAACCACATCAGTTAACAAACATGGATACATATACTATAATGTTATTGTTTTAGTTATTGTTTAAATTGCTATTAAGGAAATGATTATTTTTCTCCTTCCAATAAAGTACAGCAGAAAAGTGGTCCAAGTATAAGCAGTTAACTTATTAAACCTCACAAAAATTTCATAATTATCTGTCTATGTATTTCTAATAGTATAACAAAATCAGTAATTTTTTATATAACTGTAAAAACTACTCTGAAAAATTATTATTCCAAAATGAAACCTTCATTTGGTTGTAAATATATTAAGATTATACCAGCAAGAATGAGTATTTCTGTAAAAAAAGATTTAAATCAAGTCTTACTGACTTGATTTACTGACTTTAAATCAAATCCACCCTGCTGGGAGCTGTCATTAGGAATTTTAGAGCATGGTGGCATCAGTATGCTGATGACACACAGCTGTGTTTCTCCATAACATCTGTGACAGGAGAGGCTACACAGGCCCTGGATCAATGCATTATTAATGCAGTGCTGGACTGGAGAAGGACCAGTAAACTGAGTTTAAACCCTGGGAAGGTGGAGGCTTTGTGGGTGGGATGGTTCCTGTGCCCAGTGTAGGCCAGTTGCCTCTTCTGGACAGGGTTGCACTCCCCCTAAAGGAGGTTGCGTATGGTTGGGTCTATTCCTGGAGATGTCTTGTATCTTTTGAGGCCAAAGTAACATCTGCAACTAGAAATGTCTCTTACTAGTTTCGTGTGGTATGCCAGCTATGGCTGTACAGTATATGGATTGAGATAACAACGGGCTTATACCGAACTAAGCAAATTGTCTATAATTTATTCTCATGTTTTGTACATAGATACAATATGAAATGTAATAAATAATTAAAATACAATCTATGGCCTTTTAGACTGTGTATGTGGGTTATTGTTTTTGCTTGTTTATTATGCTAAATATTTTTGTGTTTTTATATTGCAAACGACCCTTGGTCTTCGGATGAAGGGAGGTATAGAAATTTAGTAACAATTTTTCACTGATAGGGTTATCAGTTCCCAAGTTTCTCTGCTGCTCCTAAGTTTTTGCAGTGATCTGCGCCCCTCAGCAAGGTTTCAGGTGAGAAAAACATAACTACTGCAGGAGAACCTGTAACTTTAAATAAGTCTGTATATCATGGGCAGCAACAGGATTGGTATGTGAGAGAGGAATCAATATTGTCATTTCCACCAGCAAGATAAAGCATACTTACCATGGTGGCTGTTTCTTAATTTTGGCCAAAACAAAAAAAAATTCCTTCCAGTAACACCTTAAAGACCAACTAAGTTAGTTCTTGGTATGAGCTTTCGTGTGCATGCACACTATCTGAAGAAGTGTGCATGCACATGAAAGCTCATACCAAGAACTAACTTAGTTGGTCTTTAAGGTGCTACTGGAAGGAATTTTTTTTGTTTTGACTATGGCAGACCAACACGGCTGCCTATCTTAATTTTGGGTTATGCCACACTCTCCATGCAGGCATTTTGTGTTATACCATGCCTCTCATGGCCTATTCTGTGACTAGTGCCCCCAGAACACACTTAAAATTCAAAATGTGTACACTAGTCCAAAAGGTTGGTATTTCAATAAACTAATGAATTTTGTTCTAACTTTTTTCCAAAGTCCACATCCAATCTTATTAGCTTATCACTGCAGAAATCATTAATATAGACCATGGGTAGGCAACCTAAGGCCCGGGGGCCAGATCCAGCCCAGTCGCCTTCTAAATCCAGCCCATGGATGGTCTGGGAATCAGCGTGTTTTTGCATGAGTAGATTTTATTTAAAATGCATCTCTGGGGCATAGGAATTCGTTCATTCCCCCCCTCCAAAATATAATCCGGCCCCCCACAAGGTCTGAGGGACAGTGGACTGGCTCCCTGCTGAAAAAGTTTGCTGACCCCTGATATAGACCAAAGGACAGAAGTATTTAAATGCTATATTTAACATACATCATATGACAATTTGTTGTTCTTAATTTTTGACACTTCACATTTTATAAAGTTCATATAATAAAATAAGAAGTAACATGATACAAATGACATCATGGTTCTTTCTGGATGTTAGAAACTAAAACCTAGATTTTAAAAATGAACAAGGAAAACTTATAAAAATATCGTTTCTGTCAAACAATTTGCTAACACCACAATGAGCTCCGCAATATGTATTATAATATGTTTCTATATAGACATTTTATGAGATGTAAAAACATATTTCAGAATAAAGATTGAACAGGGTTATTTTTTCAGCAAAGTAGAAAACTGTTTCAGTGCCTCTTATTTTTATTAGAAAAATATTTTGTAAAATCAGTACAAAAGATTAGAAGTTGATTGCCAACAGCTGAAATTTTCTTTAAAGATCAGGATAATAGAGTATAAGGCGCAGTGTAGACAGGCACACAATGTTTACCAAAGGATTCCCCCCTCCTGTTCAGGTGGGAACAGATGTTTCTGTTTACAAATAGTCACCTTTATCCAGCAGCAGAAATTTATGCACTGAACACAATCTCCAACATACGGATCTGCTGTTACATTGGATAGTAAGCTGTTGTGTGGGCAATGAAAGATTGAAATGAACCTCCCTTTTCACCTGAGATTATTAGTTATATCAGTTCAGTGCTAAATACCTGGCAAGGATACATTTCACCAAGAAAAAGATATCAGCACCAATTTTCAAACCAAAAAACAAACCTCAAAGGTGCCAATGAAAACATTGCTTCACTTGCAGTAGCACTCCAGTTTCATGTCATTCCTAGCTTGTTTGACTATAAACCCTTTTATCAGGCTGTAGCCACCTCCTTTCCCAAAGGTAAGGAAACTAATCCCCTTCTTCTACAATTAAGCACAAACAATATAATATTTTGCGGAAAAGTAATGACTATTGTCTGTACAAGAGGTTATGGTACACTCAAAATGCATTAGACATGCCATTCAATTGCTGTAGTTTTTTCAAATAAAATTATTTTCTTTAGCATCCTTTGAGGTTCATCTGCTTTTTAGGCAGTATGCAGGTGCCCTTCTTCAGCTTTCTCCTTTCATATACAGTGGTACCTCGGGTTAAGTATTTAATTCGTTCCGGAGGTCCGTTCTTAACCTGAAACTGTTTTTAACCTGAAGCACCACTTTAGCTAATGGGGCCTGCTGCTGCTGCTGCCGCCGCTGGAGCACGATTTCTGTTCTCATCCTGAAGGAAAGTTCTTAACCCGAGGTACAGTACTATTTCTGGGTTAGCGGAGTCTGTAACCTTAAGCGTATGTAACCTGAAGCATATGTAACCCAAGGTACCACTGTATTCTGCATCACGTCCATAAGGGCAGTCGTCACTATAAAACTCATTTCTGTCCTTGAGTGAAAGAACTTGAGAGCTGCCCATAGCAGAGAACAGTGCTTTCTGAATTTAAACATTATTAAAATTATAGAATTGTAGATTTGGAAGGGACCGCGAAAGTCATCTAGTCCAATCCTCTGCAATGCAAGAATCTTTCCCCCAATGTTGGGTTCAAACCCATGACCCTGAGATGAAGCATCTCATGCTCTACCGACTGAGGTATCCCAGCAGTCATTCATAATTTTTTGAAGGATGTGGCACAATTAGACAGGGGTTTGATCCATCAAGTTTACTAATACAAATTGATTATTTTGCTGCAAGGCAAAAGTAGGCCCTTGAATGCCTGCTTCAGTTATTTAAAAGTTCCGTGATTAAGAGCTACAGAGAAAGTTTCTGAATAAGGTAGTAGACAGAAAAGTTAGTACAGTGGTACCTCGGGTTAAGAACTTAATTAGATCTGGAGGTCCATTCTTAACCTGAAACTGTTCTTAATCTGAAGCACCACTTTAGCTAATGGGGCCTCCCGCTGCCGCCAGAGCACAATTTCTGTTCTCATCCTGAAGCAAAGTTCTTAACCTGAGGTACTATTTCTGGGTTAGCGGAGTCTGTAACCTGAAGCGTCTGTAACCTGAGGTACCACTGTATTTTTAAATAGGAAAAAATGTATTTACTGGTTTGTGAAACTGACCCAAAGGATTGTAACAACAACAGAAAGAACTGGGCAAGGAGGAGGAGCTGCTCAAACATGGAACCTGGCAAGCAGAACTTTGGGCAACAGGTTTCTGTTTCCAAATCCCATTGTACAAAAATGGTGCTCAACACAAAGGAATGAAAATTTCTCTACTTAGCACTTGGTGCTGAATATAAGAGTTCCCAACACTTCACTGGGAACCATGTTCACAGAGAACTGGGAAATCAGCACTCTTAGCCTTAAGAGCATTACTTACTTGGGAAGTAAGAGTGACTCTTCAGTCTTTCAAAGAGGGAATCAGCCTTCCTGACAGTACTGATAATTTGTTGGGCAGTTAGGAATGTGTGTGTTATGTGCACACACCAGCAAGCAGGCAAGCTGTTACATAAACCTAATTATCACAATCGTACTTTCAGACACAACAAATTCACATTTTCAAGAAACCAACATCCAAACTAAAAGCAAAAAAATAATCAAGCAGCAAAAGGAAACACTCAAATTAAATTGCATTTATATATGATCAAGGAGCAGGAACATAAAGTACAAAATTTACATAAATGAACTAAAACCTTAAAATTTGTTCAAGATAACGGCCTGTCTCACACACAATGCTAAACCATGTGGGAAAAAGGAAGGAGTCCAAGTACAGTGGAACCTCAGGTTACGAACGTGATCCATGCGAGAGGCACGTTCGCAACCCGCAGCGTTCACAACCTGCAGTGTCGCGTCTGCGCATGACGTGATCTGGCGCTTTTGCACATGCGCAAAGTGCAATTTAGCGGTTCTGCATGAGCGCCGAAACCCAGAAGTAACCTGTTCCGGTACTTCTGGGTTTGGCGCGTCCGTAACCTGAAAACGCACAACTCGCAGCATTCGCAACCCAAAGTATGACTAAAGCCTTGGGTTTAAGCACTCATTCTTCCCTTCTCGTCCTATGGGGCTGAAAGAAGGAATATATGCTAGCATGTACTTTTCGTTTCCATTAACCCAGACTTCTTGTTAATAGCAAAAGAAAAACTTGTTTGAAATCCTGGTTAGTTAAACAAGCCAGCTTCATAATGGTTTGAAGATGGCTTGTTTCAAAAACTTAGCATAGTTTTAATCCACGGTCTCCGATTCTGAATGGCAAACCCAGATTAGCTGGAAACCAAAGTCCCCTCAGCTGCATGAGAGGAGAAGCACAGAAAGCCAAGGCTTTGCTCAATCTTGTTCCAGCTTGTGCAAATAGCAGTAAACCATGGTTTAGCATTATGTGCCAGTCAGCCCAGTAATACAATTTCACAAGATTAAAAAATTCATTTCACAGCAGAATGTTTATACAGTTATGGCAATAAATAAATATAAAAAACCACTGAACTAAAACCTTGCAAATAAAGTCCCCCTAAGCATTCCAGTTCATAACTTTGTCATAATCTTGAATTCTCTGTTTTATGTGAGAAAGCTTTTTCTTTAGATATTCACAACGTTCTTTTTTCTCAAGAAATGTGGGATCCTGCAATACAGAGAATAAACAGATCAATAATTTATTTTGTAGAAGCCTGCAGAGGTAGGTGGGTCAAGTCACAAAGGGTAATTTCAATAAATCTCATGAAGTGTTATTTTGTTTCGCTGGGTTTTTTAAATATTTTGTCAGCAAACCTTAACATTTAAGATGGGGAAGCAATACATTTAAATGAATACATGCAATGAATATTAAAAAAAAAAAAATTCCAATGCCAGAATAATGAAAACTTTAATCTAGGGCAAGTTCTTATCCTGGAAGGTCATGTTAACCACATTGTGGATGGAAACTAGTATTTGAATGGAAACCCACTTATGACTTTCAGCCTTATTAATGGAACTGCCTGCCAGACCTGAGTGATAGCACCTCTTTTTCTGATGCCCCTTCCTCAAATTCTCTCTCAAAATTTTATGTGAAGACTTTTAAGCAAAGTCCTCATCTCCAACCCAAACAAAGCTGAAGTACGTGCAACTAGGACACATGTTCTTCCTGCTGGCCCTCCCCTTCATTCTTATTCCCTACCTCTCTGCCCTTTGCCTTCCTTGTGCCAAAATTTACTATGTAAATCAACTCAGGGCAGGGGTATTTTTGTTACTGCTCTGTTAAAACATTATGCACCTTAACAATCAGTAATTACATAAATAAGTAGATATGAGAACTCACATTCTTCTTCTTTCTATACTGTTGCAAAACATTTGCAATTCTGTCATGTTCCTGTAGAGGGGGGAAAACAGCATTTCAAAATATCCTGTCTATTATATCCACAAATAATATATTAATTTTCTTCTGTCCTAATATTTTTTTATGTAACCATAGTACAAGTTCAAAGTACCATTCCTAGAGAGGTCAGCTGCTTTGCTAGGTTGAAACTGCAGGCGCTGAACAACACCAAAACCCTATTACAACTAAGCTACAGTGGTGCCTCGCAAGACGAAAATAATCCGTTCCGCGAGTCTCTTCGTCTAGCGGTTTTTTCGTCTTGCGAAGCAACCCTATTAGCGGCTTAGCAGATTAGCGCTATTAGCGGTTTAGCGGCTATTAAAGGCTTAGCGGCTAAAAGGCTATTAGCGGCTTAGAAAAAGGGGGCGGAAAGCGAAAAAAATTGCAAGACTCGCAAGACGTTTTCGTCTTGCGAAGCAAGCCCATAGGGAAATTCGTCTTGTGAAGCGCATCGAAAAACGGAAAACCCTTTCATCTAGCGGGTTTTTCGTCTCGCGAGGCATTCGTCTTGCAGGGCACCACTGTATATTAATCCTGAATATTGCTACTTCAGTTCAGAAACTGGTGGTCTTGGTTCTGAAGGGAATGGGAGAAAAGGGAGCATGTGGTGGTTACTAGTAATCTAATAATTTCACAGCTAGGCGAATGACAGTAAACTACCAAGTACTTTTCTGCTGCTACCTCAAGCAACAATTTTCTGCAGCAACCAAACTAAAATGTCTTTGGCTTGCTAAATGTAAAGGATAGTGGTGATCCAATGTCTAGGTTGCCATGTGACTCCAGCCAAAACTGCTTATAAATGCAATTTTTAAATCCATGCTCAATTAAGTACTTACAAGAGTGTTTCCAGGCTGCTGAGGAAGCTTCTGCATCAACGCATCTAGCTCATCAAATTTCTTTAAGACCGCATGAACCTCAGCAGAAAGCTCTTTATATTCAGAAAACTGATCATTAAACACAGCTTTATATCGGTCTCTTTCCTCATCTGAACGAATTGCTGGGTATTTCCTGTAAGAAACTATAATTAGAACTACAGGATCAACCATCTATGTAAGCTTCAAATGTATGCATTATGGATTTTTGAATAGAAAAAAAAACCTTGCAAAAGTTTATTGCCGCATGAAAATTGTGACTCAAATTAGAAAAGACTACAACAATCTTAGATTACCTCCCACCCTCTGTAGAGTACAACTTGGTTTATTTAGTCAAATCACCTGGACTGTTTCCCAAACAATTTCATTGGTTATAACCTGGATGGCTGGCTAATTGCAGACTCTGCTTTAGAATAGAAGTTTGGGTTTGGCAATATGTCAACAATAAAATTGTTATTGGCACTTGATACTAAGTAATTCAAACTCAAAAGTTTAAAGAGAACATTTTTTTAATTAACAGAAATCAATGCATGATGTAATTTGAAATGCTTTATAGCTAAAAACTATGCACTCAAAATCAGTATCTGCAAGAACAGAATGGAACCACTGCTGTGCAAGGCATTGATTTCCTGATACAGTTCTAATATGAAAATATAATTAGGTGGTTAAAAGTCAGCAATAATATAGAAACAAACCTTTTTCCACCAAACACAAAGTCACCTAATTTAAGCCATGGTTAAACCAAAAAGCCCCTCATTATTCATGGTATCCTGTTTCATCCAAACTGGAAAATGATGATTACTGGCTTCAGAACAAGCCATGTTATCACACCAACTTCAAACCAATGTTTAATATCCTGACTTGTTCCAAAACAAGTAAATGTAATTCCCTAGTTTGGATGAAATGAGAAATTATGACTAGCTGAAGACTCCCTGGTTTGTTTGCTAACGCTGTGAAGGCAGGAGCAAAAGGCTCACATCTCAATTCATTCATATATTATTAAGCCAAGATGTGATCATCTGTAGTCGGTCATTGGGATTTATCACTCCAAGAGAAAGCTTCAAAAGGAAGGTTGCAGAGAGACTCACGCTAAGTAGTCTGGCATCACTATAGGTTTAGGAATATGTCCTGCAGGTATATGGCCATTGAGTAGTTCAGGTTTCAGTTCCACAGACTTGAAGTTCTTTGCGTTTGTTGCTGCTTTGGGACTGCCATCTTCATACTATGTAAAATGGATATTAACAGTCAATAACAGTCAGTAAATCCACTTTAAACAGCACTAATTTAGCATGGAGTAGAGTGATCAGAAATAAGAGTGCAATTCTATCACATACACCTCACCCCCAGGTTGATGGGAGTGGATTATGATAGTTGCCTCTCTGGTGGCCCCTGTTGCCAGTGTGTTTCAACCTTTACCTATTTTATCCGAATTCTTGTTGAAACTAAAGTAGTCCAGGTCCTGCATGTACTCAGCATTTGAATATAGAAAAAAAATGGTGTTCTTACCATCCTTTTTGGTGCAAAAGATTGCGTCGTTATCATCTAATAAAAAACCAAAAACATCATCATTAAGTGTGCAAATGTAGACAATAAAAGCCTTAACACGCAGACATCTGGGGCGGAAAAAAAACAGCAAAAAGAAATTGCGCTTCTCCCTAAATCCAACCTGTGGAAAGAGGTGCATACTGTTTCTATCCTTCCTTGGAACCTCACTGGTAGTGTCTGCTGATATAGTTCCTCTTCATCTTTCTTTGAAAATGTCCCAGCTATTCTGGATTTTCAGGAAAAATGAAGGAGAAGCTCTGTCCTGCTCTTCTTTCCCCTTCTGACAGAATTAGAGAAGGGGAAAGGACCAAAAGATTCCCCTGTCTGTTTTTGGTGCTAGGCCATCTGGAAGCAGCAATGGTATATTTTGACTCTCCTTTGAAAGTAGGAAGCAGAGAAACTTGGGAGGAGGTGGTGCTCTCAGATCCTGGAATGCTGCAAGGCAGCAAAGTTTAATCTCTGGTCAAAAGCACCGATATATGTCTCCACAAGACAATGTAGTATCAGTGTAGTTAACACTGCTGAAGGTATGCTAACAAGTATTGTTTTTGATTAGGTGCATACGCAAGCAAACTCCACCTATTATACTGACATTATGTGGTCACATACACAGAACCTCAACAAAGTATATATTACTTGAACTCAATTCTCAATTGACTCACAATTCATAGACTCACAGAATTGTAGAGTTGGGAGGGTCATCTAGTCCAGCCCCCTGCAATGCAGGAATCTTTTTGCCTGTGGGGCTTAAACCTACAACCCTGAGATTAAGAGTCTCATGTTCTACCAAGTGAGGCTCATCCTTGCATGAACAATGTTCACTTCAGAATTATATGCAAAAAGTTGCACATAGTTAATATTAAGATAATCCATAAAACTCCAAAGGCCTCAAATCAGGTCCTTAGTTTAGTGATGCAACTGTTACAGAAGCAAGTACAACAGTAAGGAGACATAACATCTACATAGTGGGCTGGTTCAGATGTATTTATCTTAGCTGATTAAGCCAAATTCTGCACAAGCCTTGTGCCTGGGTGCTCTGTTTCATGTTGCCCCTTCCTTCCTCCTTTTTTTGGCATGCCATAATTAACAATCCCTGGATTAGTGAACTATGGTTTCCTTTGCTTTCCAATAGTTATTGAGATTAGAAGCAGGCAGTTTATTTCAGTCCTGGTTATTGAAGTTTCCTGCTTATACTGCAATGGGATTTTTTTGGTTAATTAACCAAGGATGTGAATAACTGGCTACTTACACGAAGGAGGGATGGGGTAGCAAGGGGACAAAAGACACAAGCACATGGTTTTAGGACACCTTGGCTTTAGTAAATTGAGATATATATGTCTGATCCAGGCCATGACAGTAACTATTTTAAAAAACTAAATTTATGGTAGGAACAACTGTTTTCTACAGAACTTACCTCTTGTTGCATAAGCTCTCGCTGTTTCCGTGCACTTTCATGCCTCCATAGTTTTAGGCAAACGATTGCGCCAACAAGATAGATTATCATTGTTACAAACAAGAAGATAATTGCAGCTGTCTGCCCCCCTTCTATTCGGCAAAACATTGCATTCATTGGCGTATTAAATAATGGGTAGTAGCAAAGTCCTCCTCTGTTAGCATCATTCACATAGACTATCGCAGCTGTCATATACAAAATAAACAAGGCAACATTAATTCCAAACTCGGTTAAAGGCCACCAGTGGGAATCTAGAAGAATTGTCCTGTAATACATGGACATACCAAGTACTAGAATTATAACAGTCACTATCCAAACAAGTGCTGCAAGAACAAGAACAAAAGGGGTTTTAGGCCCACTGTAGTAATAGCCTCCATACATGCTGCTTCCCCCTCCATATCCATACATGCTGCTTGCCCCATGTGGCTGGGAGTAGCCATACAAGTTGTACCACTCATTGTCCTTGTGAATGTAAGCTGTAACACAGGCAAACACAGCTGCACCCAACAGCAGTTCGGCAACTCCCAGGATCCTGAGCAAGCCGGCCCAAGATTTCATGTAAGAGTATCTCAAATTAAAGGCTTCTACTTTCTCACTGTATGCTAGAACAGTTTGTGTGTGCCTGTCTAGGGAGCCGTAGGGATCTTGTGGAAGCATAGCTTCAGCTTCTTTCCGTGAATTGTAGGTTCCCCCAGATCCTCCATAAGGATCCTGGTAAGAGCTTGGAACTGAGGTATTGCCTGGCTTCACCGGGGTAAGTGTTGGAGATGATGGCGGAGAGCATTCAGCTCCACCAGAAATCGCAGCTACTGGCTTATTCCATTCAGGGCCATCTCTTTTCCCTTTGAAGAAGTTTTTCCACGAGTCTGGAATGAATTTTCTCACTGGTTTAAGATCAGAGGCCCCAGCAGTTTCTTCGCTGTCACTTGGATAAAATTCAGGGCCAAAGGGTGGCTGTAGTGGAAGAGGTGGTGGCAAGGGATCTGTGTTAAGTATGTGTCCAGCATCTTGAAAATCCCTTTCAGCATCTTCTGAAGAAGAAGAATCCACATTCACTTCATCATAATGGACTGACCGACTGTGTTGTCCTGGTCTGCGCTCTGATGATGCATTCCTTGAAGACATTTGTGGTCCTTTCCCCTGTTTCAGAAATCAAAAGAGTGAAAAGATTTCTTTTCATTTCCTGGTTTCACATATACTGTGCTTGACAAAAGGAAAAGCAAACTGAATTCCTGCTTTGAGAGTCTGCAAAAAAACAAACCAACATCTTCTAAAGTCCTTAAATCTTCTAAAGAAAACAGCTGATATATTTTTCTTCTATCATTATAATTTAAAAAACAAACAAAACAAGCCTATTAATCAGTTTTTGACTGGACTTCTGAACGAAGACCAAGGCATGTGAATCTATTAACAGAGTACCTTTGACTACATGAAGAATGCTAGCACTATACACAGGATTAAGAGTTAAGGCTTCCCGAGCAGAGGGCAAAACGTTAACTATACTCACAGTTCCACCATCTTACAGAAAATCAGAAATATGTGTGCACAGGAAGCAGGAGCCACGCACATAACGGGTATCAGCGTCAAGCCACCTAAGAAAACAATGGCTAGCTAGTCGGTTACACCATTACCCCACCCCTTTCCCTTGTTTTCCCTATACACAAGGAGGCCCAGCTTCGCCAGAAACTTTGCTGCGTGCAGTCAAACCTACGCCCTGCGTCTCTCACCTACATTTATGAGGGTCGCAGCCTTCCAGCTGCGCTCCCGCGATTCCACTTACCTGGGAGTAAGTCTCAGTGGCTTCAACAAGGGGACTTCTTTCCGAGCAGCCAGATATTGGAGCGCACTGGATGCCTCTCAGAAATGGGAACTCCCGGACTCTTCAAGTGCCGCTTTTCGCCCGGGCACTTTTCTCCCAAGGCTCAACCAACAGCACCTTCCTGCCGCCGCCGCCTCCTCACTCGCAACCACACCTCGCGGGCGCCCTGCGCTCCCACAACCACCGGGAGCGGAACCAAGAAGGCGCCTGTTTCTTTTTGGCGCAACGCAGCCTCACCGCGCTCAGCCTTTCTCTACGCAGCTTTCCTGTCCCAGGAGAGACTTGCAAGCTCGCTTCAGGCGGGGAAGGAATGCGCAAAAATCCCGGGAATGACGAGGTTCCTTCTTCCGCCTTCCCGGCGAGGTTTCTTTCCCTCAGCGGCTCCGCCAAAGAGACCCGTCCCCTCCCGCGCGTCATGCGCTCATGTCCTCGTCGCGAGTGAGGCGCAGCCTACCTGCCCGCCCGCCCGCTCCAGGTAGAGCGGCTCTCCTGCTAGGCTGCCCCCACCGGCTGAAAGGGTTGCTGCTTCCGCTTGAGGAAGATTTTGCTCCACGCGAGAGGCGCTTCCGCGCGCCCCAATCTTTTGTATCCCCCCCCCCCCACCGCGCGGAAGGTGTAGAGTGGGCCCTCAACTCAAGTCTCCAACCTGTTAACCCGTTCAAAGTTGAAGTCAATTCATTGACTAACTGGGCGAATTTATGGGAGAGTAAATACCAGAGTTTTGTTTAGACTTGCAGATTATGCAAGTGGGCAAAGAAGCAGGCATTGTATGGTGGGGGCAGGGAGATAGCCTTTTAAAGGTCCTTTGGGCCAGTTGCACTTTTTAGATGCAGTTGAAATGACTTGTGGCCCTTAGCCCAAAAATGGAAGCAAGAAGAATTACTGACAATTGAAGAATGGAGGATGAAGTTAATGGACTATGCAGAATTAGATAAATTAACAGGAAGAATTCGAAACCAGCGGGACCAGAAATTCACGGAAGACTGCAGTAAATTTACGGACTCTTTGAAAAGTATTTGTGAAGACCAGACGACGTATTATTGGAAGTATTGCAAAAATAGATAAAGGAAAAGATAATTTGTTAAGAGACTTAAAGGCAATATAAAGTTAAGAAATGTATAAGAAGTGGATAAAACGGTGGATTATCAGAGATGCTGATGGAAGTCTAAAAAGATTGTATAAGTGATAAGTTTTGTGGTACATTTTATAATTATATGTTAAAATCAATAAAAATTATTATTAAAAAAAAAAGAAATGACTTGTGGCCCAAAAGCAAGTTTATCTAACACACGCTGTACCCGCTTCAGTTTTATAAACATCTAAAAATCACAAAGCATACAAGGAATTCAGAAATTTATTTACATCTTAAATAATACACAGCCCAGAACTTAAACACTTTGTACAGGTTTTCTATCACTGCAGGTAAGGGTTACTTTTGTGAAATTCTAACAAAACTATTGACAGTGTCCCTCCAAATATCTGTAAGAGGCATGTAAATCAGTGCATTTGTCTCATAATACTGATTTCCACACCACCTCTTGGACTGGGACCAAAATTTTGAACTGAGGTGCACACCATTGAAGCTTTACAGTGTAGAGTCAAATAGTACTGGGGAAATCCAGTACTCAGATATCTTGTGTATCATTTGTTTCTCTGGAAATGAAGCTGTGTGAAACTCTGGCAAAGTAATAATAGCTCAAAAAAATAAGTTGAAGTCATCAGTAGTAGCAATCTCAGTACAGTTGGCTAAGACTGCTTATAAAATATTAAACCTAAAATTATTATGTTAAACACTATCACAGCTTTGGGGTTACCATTTCACACCTTCTAGTCACTGTCATATTCCTCTATGATTAGTTCATCTTCCTCCATGATTAATTGTGCTACAATAGGCTGAGGTTGACTGGCTGGTAGTTCATTTCCACTAGATTGGCTGGAAGGAAGAGGACTTTCATATGGTTCATTTTTCTCACTGGTTTTGTTTTTCTCCATTTGGGTAACCACATTTGTGGAGTGCATCTCAGCAAAATCCCCTTCATCGTCACTGTCTAGGACCTGTATTGCGGAGTCTTTATCAGTAAGAGTTTCAAGCTTCAACCTGTTGTGGAATGAAAGTAATAAAAGTTCAGAAACATTGTATGCTCTTGCAGAGAATTACTGAGGAATTCAGGTATGCAAATAACAGATAAAAACTAACATCTGTTTCTCCTTTTCTCTCATTGCCTTTCGAAGTTAAGCTTATAAAGCTGCATTCTTAAAGTGAGCAACAGGTAGGTGTGTGGACACATGAGAAGAAAATAGTTTTGTATGCCTAGTTTGTAATACACCTAAAAAACCCTTACAGTCCAGATTTCCAAACTGTGTGTATTGACAGCGGATTACATGATTTGCTGTACCACTTTCACCACAGATTGTGAGTTAAAAACTACTGAAAAGGAGGAGAGATTGCAAATGCCTAGTTGCTGTTAGCCCAGTTTTTGAATTTAAACACAGAAAGCACAGTTAGTTGCCTTATAGGACAAATCTCACAGTGTATAGTTGTAAATTTAAAACCAACATGAGGTTTTACACTTCTTAGTAATATCTTATATATGCAGACTATTCCCTCTCCCAACGTAGCCCAGGGCATGGTCTTGAAGACATATGAGGCCTCCACTTTGCTGAAGGCAAGCAGGTCTGGGCAGTATATGGATGGGAGACTGCCTGAGAACCGTACATACTCTGGTTTGGGTTGCATGTAGAAAGGCAGGATATAAATAATAAAAGAATAAATAATAAAACACATAGAGTCCTTGATATGGTCAGAGTGACATATCAAGTTGATTGTTACTTTTCCCACCTTATAGATTGAGAATTAACCTATGTAGTCAAAGTGCTGTCTGAAAGTATATACTGATATTTACAGCAAACATATTCCAATTTGCAAAAGAGCAAAAGAGCCATAGCGGGCATTTACCTTCCAAAGTGTTTCTTTAAAGGAAGCCTTCCAATGTCCTGAATAAAAGTAATCTGAGCTGAGAAAGCATACAAAAATTATTCCTTAGAATTGTGTTAGAACTTGGATTTGTTGTGAATCCAGAGTACACAGTCCCATTTTAAGCTAAGACTGTTTTGCAATACTTCCTCCACTCCTGATTTAGACTAGAGATAGATGATAGATAGATAGAAAGATAGATGATGATGATAGATAGATAGATAGATAGATAGATAGATAGATAATATTAACATACCATCTAGGGTTGGGTTAATCATTACATTATTTTCCATGGCCAAAGGCTTTTTCTGCTCTAAAGTACCACCCTCCATATCCCAATCAATACATTTGTCATGCTGCTGTAGGAAAAATTGAATGAGTGCTCCTTGCTCCTAAAAAATGAGCTTCTATAGAAGCCCTTTGGCCCAGGTATGCAAACAAGCTACAGGCAGCACAATGAGAAAACTAACAATGTTGAAGCAATAGGGCAAAGCATCAGATGCAGATGTGCTGATACAAACTCTTAGAGAACTGACATTACAGATCACAATCAACACCTCCCATGTGGTGTTAAACCAAGGTTAAGAGTAAATTATCAGTACGAATTTGAGTACTAACTGCTTACCATCAGAGTTTGGCTAAGAACTTCCAATACATTTTCTGAAAAAAAGGGTTTTTTGTTTTTTAAAAAGTACCTGGGTTTCTCATTGGATTTGTCAGCATGGCAAGATAAGGTAACAGCTGGGTCTGAAGGCACACTGGTGGTAAACAGAAACTTGAAAAGAGGGATTTTGCAGCAATGCAGTTTTCCTGAAACTATAAGGAGGCAGAACAAAGAAGTCTAATAGTAAAATATATTATCTACAGTTAAACCACAAAATTTCTCTTCTGACTCTCTACCAATTATAAATATTAGGAGGTTATTTTGCCAGAACTTCCATGCCTTAGAAACCCAACATTAAAACAAGCATGCAACACTATCCAGAAAATAACTATTGAGATGTGGTGTGATACGTCGCCTAGACAGCTGTAGGAGCTTAAAGCATCAAGTTATTTCTTTCCATTTTGATTTTCTTATTTAATTTTTCTGGAGATAGCATAATTTGAAGGTTCCAAAATCGGTCTGTCCATTTTTACTTGAAGCTGCTACACTAAAAATCCAAGAGGTACACTTCTTTATTCCTAACCATGTTACAGAGTATGCTGAAATGTATTTTCCCCAGACCAAATGCTATTTTGTGGTAGCCGCTAAATATATTTCTTCTTGGGTTGTTTGTGTAGTCAAGCTGGTCCTAGATTACACTGCAGGAATGATTCATCTAAAATATTTTCCTTGGCTAGATGGCACAAGGCAATCCTTTAATTGAAACTTAAACTGAAACCTTAATCTTATTAAATAACTCTTTAATCTTGTAATGAATATGCTTATCACAAACATGCAAGCTAAGGCAATCTTACAGCATTATTAACCTACACCACAAATCAGATGAGAATGATACTAAGAAAGCTCTACTTAATTTACTGTTTCTATTTTAGGTTATGATTTACAATAAATGTAAAACGTTTTACAATAAACGTTGAAATAAAGAATATCATTTTCAAAATAGTTACCTTTTTGTTTATTAAGAACCACTGTGGTTTATGAAGGGGTCGAAAGCCCATTCCTCCTTTGCTTTGAGCAGAGGCTCTGGATCTGTTTGAATGCATTACGCCCCTTGTGGCTATGGATGCACTATATTCCCGGAGTGTAGGTCTTGCCTATAGGAAATGATAGAAACAAGATCAAGGTGAAAGGGGGAGCATTTCTGGCAGTCAAGTTTTCACTTAGTTGCAACTGAGCATTTATTTGAGGTAAGTATTTTAAATTCCCAGGTTTTACTAAATTGGTTAAAATCATTTGATGATTTGAACTTATCAGTTTCATATGGTGAATAATGAGCAATGCACCCCCCTCACACTTGCAACAGCTGGTATTTTTCCATGCCATGTAGTCTGTTGGTTCGAACACATGGGAGCAAATTTAAAGGATGTCTGTTGGATTGTGTCATGGATATCCACCCCTGCTTCCTCTCCTCTACCCATAGCCCCTCACAACTCCAAGATAGACTCTAGGGGCCCCCCAATCTTCCAGAGCAGATTTGGGATGTGCATGAGAGGCTGTAGGGATGAGGAAAGGGAGATCAGCTGGGTGTCAGCTATAAAAAAAGTATCTGAGACACGACAACTTTATCCAGACTATAGAAAGACTAGCTAGAAAATGGCACATGCTTTCTTCAGAACAATTGTTTGGTAAGGCAAAGCATGAACAGGAAGCTTTAAAGTTACATAAAACACACTGTCATACAAGAACAACAAGTCTAAGGGTGTGGACTAGGTAAATCTTGAGGTCTGTTACAATTCTAAGCAGGGAGGGAGGTTATTGGTTTGTCTTTATTTTATTATGCATTTTGTTTTCATTTTGCGTTTTTATGTTGTGAACTGCCCCATGATCTTCAGATGAAGGGCGGTATTATTAATTAATAATAAGTAATAATAAGCAGAAA